GCTCCAAGCCCTCGCGCCACAGATCCAGCGCACCTCCTCGCCCTGCCAAAACACTGAAGGTTGATCTACCGATAAAGTCCGATATCCAGCTCACGAAAGGTTTGGATCGATGTTGTAACAATCGAGAAACCTTAACGTTCGTTTGCTCTGCCTCCCGTGTTCTGTTCCTCTCTGTGCCACGTTCCGCGCCTTTGCTTGTCAAACCCTGAACCTGCTTGCCTCTGCCAGCGGGGGCTCCGTACATCTAAAACCTACACGGGGATGGCCCGAAACGTAGGCGGCCTCCGCCTGCATATCAGTAATGCAGTATCAACGTACGCACACAAACCACGCACAAACCACCGTCTGTAGACGCACAAGAGGCCCTTGTCTCTCCCTACCTTTGCACTCCCTCTTTCACCACCCCGCGCCAAGCATGGACTCGGATGGTGATGCTGCGATGGCAAACGGTGGGGGGGGGGCATCGGCAAACGATGAGAAATGTGCTTCTGGCGAGAGCAGTGTCCCCGAGCATTGTGAAGAGTGCGAGGATAGGCGACCAGTGTGGGATTGCAAGCAGGGGTGCGGTGGAGTGTTCTGCGACGTTTGTTTCTATGCGCTGCATCGCAAGGGGAAAAGGGCATTGCACAAGCCAGAAAAGATCGAGCGCCCGGGGGCAGCTACCGGAAATTGTGGGCCGGCAGCCGGGAAGGGGCTGAGCGGGTGGATTGGGCCGCGGTTGCCTCCACGAAAGGAGGAGGCGCGTCCCGACATGTATGATAGGTCAGCACCAGTGTTGTATGTATTCTGCTTTTGCTGTTGTCCAGCCTGTGGATGAACAATGTGACGGCGGTGCCGCGGGTGTATGTAGTGCTGCTGTTGCTGGAGCAGAAAATAATGTGAGGTATCGATTGTTCTTTTTCAAGGGAGACCGACCGATGCCAACGCACGATTTACGGGAGCCAAGTATTCTTCAGGCAGGTGGTGGGTGCAGTGTACATTGGCGCTGGTGGGCCAGTGCACGCTATGACAACTCCTTACAACAACTTGGGTCAGGGAGAAACAAACTGCTTGGTGTGGAGAGGGGTTGTTGAGCTTGATGTAAGACGGATCACCGAGTCTCCGTGAGGATAAGGGAAAGCAAAACGGGAAGGGACTGCTGGTTCCCTCTCGCGGTAATAAGATACCGCAGTAGAGTCAAGCTCGCATAAGCGTGGTGACAACACAAGCCCTGCATACCCTGCCCTCTGTGCGAACCCATGCTGATGTATGCATATGCCGAATGGTGTCGTCTGACGAAATAATAGATAGGGTGACAACACACACATCTTCATATACCATGGTTAGAAATAGGCAACAAGAGTCCGCGGCGATTGGAGAAGAAAACACTTGGCATGTGAATCGAGTCGAGACAAGGTTGCGCCCCACAACTAACTACATTCATGATGAACTCGAACGAGCCCGTGTTTCCCATCCCCACGAGGATGATTGTTGGTTGTACTCCCACTTTGACCCGGTGTTTCATGGCCCAGAGTCGGGAACACCGCCACACACAGCATCCTCAGGACATGTGGGATCAAGTCACGCATGGCCTGGCACCCTCCTTTCATGAGGCAACTGCAGCACCGAAGCACACCGCTGTTTCCCACTCCAAGCACTGCTATAGTTTGCTATCAAACCCGGTATCATCCAACGATGCCTCCACATCAGGGAGTCGATTTTTTTTTTGTCGTATCGCGACACCACACCGTCTCGACGGCTCCCACTTCATAAGTATTTCTTTACCTGCAATGTGGAAATACGGAACGTGCCACCACTTCAGAACTTGGCAGTTAAGAACGTGAGCCTCAAACAATCCAAAACCTACGAACTTGGCCATAAGAACATATGCTCAGTTCCGACGTGGTATTAAGAACAACAACCCGCCCCTATGGTGTATCAATGCGCATACAGATAAGAACGGAGCCCCAAAACGCGGCGGCCGCAAGATAACAACTTAAGAGGTTGGGTTTGACCCAATCAGCAGTTGGTTTCGGATTCGAGGCGGGGGGGGGAGAGGACCTCGTGATAAAATGCTTGTACGCGCGGAGGGTGAGGGCGTACGCTCTCTCTCATGGTTCGGATGCCTTAGCGGTTAGACCATTGACCACACGTCCTCGAGAGGATGCATCAATGTTCAAACAGGACCGATCACCGATGCCAATCGCTCCAGCCCACTTGGAAATACTTCGCCAAAAGGTTGCTAAAACTTTTTCTCCCTAGCCGATCTACCCTATCGATATCGCTTAACGCCTTTTCAACCCACTTCCTGTGCCCCAGTATAGCTACCGTCTTCCCCTGGCTGTCCATGCCTCAATCATCTCCCTGTACCTTTTGTTCTACATGTCAAACTCGGTCATGTGCATTTCTCTGTCCTTGTCGCCCAACTCGGACGGTCGTTTCGCATTCACATTTGAACTTGTCTTCATCGTCTACCTTCCTGAATCTTGGTTAACGTTCTCAAAGGCTGTTGTCCCCTCCTAAACTTGACCTTCGGCTTTCTCCCTGCATCCATTGGTCCATGTAGATACCTATACCTTTCAACACCCGTACACATCTAGGCCCTCGTTATCCTTGGATCCTTTTGTAATATTGTGTTCTCTCTCGGCGAAAGATTTCTTGTTCTCAAACCCCTCTAGACCTAACGTTCGTTTCCAACGTATCAATCCCATCGATTTTGGACTCTTCCTATATACGCCATCCACAACCTTAATCCACTCCCTGGGTTGATGCCTCAATTTTTCTTAGAAAGTAATCATAACATAACCTCACAGGAAGACTACCCGTTCGAGATACAACCTTTTCTTGTTTGTCCACTTCGCCTCCCAGGCTTCTCTCGGCAACCTCTCCTCTCCCACATCGTGCATAGATACAGTCTACTTGCCATTTCATCTTACTTACGCCTCTTATCGTAGGAGTTGGATCCGAAGGGGGCGTACTCTGTCTCATGTTTTGGAAGCCTTTGCGGTTAGACCGTTGACCACGCGTCCTCGACAAGACAGAGCATTGTTCCCACAAGACCGATCACCGATGGCCAATCGTTCCTTCTTACTTTGTCAAAGAGATGGCTCAAACATGTTTTCCCATCGGGGTATCTATTTCGGCCTTTCAACACATTAGTTCCTTTGCCCCAGTACAGCTACGGTCTTCTCCTGGCTATTACATTCGTCAAACATCTCTCTGTACCTTTTCGTTCTACTTTTTTCCCAGCTAGCTCAGTCATGTACATTCCCCTCTCCTTGTGCAACGGACATCCCGCAAGTACATGAACGTGATCTTCGCTCTCGGAGCCGCATTCACATCTGGATTTGCCATGTTCATCGTCGACCTTGCTGAATCGTCGTCTACGTTCTCAAAGGCCTTATCCCCAGTCCTAAGTTCTTGACCTTCAGCTTTGTCTCTGCATCCATTAGCCCATGTAAGTATTCCGTAAATCTATTCCTTCATTATGATTCCGTACACATCGAGACCCTCCGTATACTTGGTTTCTTCGGTTAGATTCTGTCCTTCTCTCTCGGAAAAAGCTACAGTTATCTTCTCCTTGAAACCCTCTAGACCTCCCCCAGTGTATCACCTTGGTCAATTGCAACACCCTTCCATGCGTCATCTACAACATTCGCTCACTCCGTAGGTTGGTACACCAGTTATTCTTGTTTGCCCACTTCTCCTAAGCTACTCTTGGCAAACTTTCTTCTCCCATACCGTGCATGCGGCACTGCCATCTAGGGGAAGATTTCACGGCTACATTGTACTCTTACCGCAGTAGTGTCTCGTGATTAAATCCACCCAGAAAGACCTCTGTCCTCTGTATAGGGCAATCGGTTTAGAAATAAGAACAAGAACCCCGATGATCACAGGTGGATACCTGCTCCAAATAAGGACTTGGAAAACAAGAACATGTGCTCTGTTGGAGATATAACAAATGAGTGTCGAGCCTCAGGCAAAATAAGCGGTTCTTAAGTGGTGGTGCGTTCTGTACACGCTTCTTTCACCTTCACTAGAGTTGACATAACGAAGCAGTGGCATCCGTTGACATCTACCGCCCGCCGCCGCCCACAACTGCGGTACCCACATGATCGTGCGAATGCTCCAGAAAATCTTTCTCCGAGAGATCTAAGTACATTCCGGTGCGACTGACTTCCGACGAGCGCCGCTACTTGCGACTGGTGGAGTCGGTCATCTCTGTCACGGACTACACAGGGAAGGTCGATGCCGACTTCCCTTCGGCGAGCAAGCGCAGCCACCTCATCCTCAAGCAGGTGGGTGAAACATTTCTCGTCGGCTATCAGCGTTTCTATTCTGTTTGCTGTTGTACCCTATTTATCAGGCAGCCTCTGCTCTTGGGAAGCACGATGCACCCCTTCGCTACACAAACGGCATATTAATCTGTTGTCAATCGTAGACGTGCGGTCCCAAATGGCACAATATTTTAACAGCCGAAGCCCACATTTCACTCGCGGTTCCTTTACGCACACATGCACTCGTAACGCGAAGGCGCTCTGCGATCTGTTATGTATGTTGATTTGCCGTGTACTCAGTTCTGGCACTTCCGGCCTCGTCCATGCAGACAATCGGTAGTGTACGTAGTTGAGAAAATGAACACAGAGTTATGCAGCCCAAAAAATATGTAAGATTCTTGGCAAGGATTACCAATCAGTACTTCGACTTTCTCCGGCCGTGGCGTCATTAGTGTGTTCCAAGTGGTTGTCCCTCGTTTACGTTGTACCTACCGTACTTGTCGGGGCTGTTTGTTGTTCAGATCACGCGGTTCTTGAGCGGGCTGGTGCTTGCGGTAGACTACCAGAAGGGTATGACGATGATCGAGGAGCGAGGGTACAGCGAACACGAGGGTTTTTTCCAGGACGTGCTGGAGATCGCTCGAAGGCACAAGATTATGAACCCCGAGAAGATGCGTACGGAGTACGCCAAGGTGACTGCGTTGGGCGAGGATGATGGATTTAAAATTCAAGTGCTGGGGGTGACCTTTGTGTGCGTGCACGCACGTCGAAAATCTCGGGAGAGACGATCTTCAGGAGCAACAGTATACCCAAGATCCTTTTGGATTCTGGAGACTCTTCCCGAAAATGCATCACCTCTTGTTGCGCCACTTGCTGGCATATTTGCGGGCAAAATTGGTGGCGTGGGAAAGCTGCCTCTCTCTCTCTTGGCTCTTTGTCCCTGCCTTGTTTGCGACTGTGCATACGGACAGCGATAAATGGCAGCCTGGGTCGCAAGACAACCTGTGCCCGTGTGGCTGGGGGAGCGCGCACCGAAAACTATCTCGTCTAGACTATGGTCAGGGTGCTGGATTTCCGGATGGCTTGTCTCCACCATGTGGGAGTCGCACGTCTTTTTTACCACTGTAAGTTAAAGACAGGAGTGAGGAGCGAGTAGCCGTGTGCTGAGATTCACAACTCTCCTACTGGGCACCAACAAGATCTATATCCATGCAATTTTGATAGAAACTTCGTTACCCTTGTTTTTCCTGGCTCGCAGCTGATCTACCTGATGCAAGATGCGGTATCCCCGGAGGCGCAGCGTATCTTGAACTTGAACATCAAGAGAGGAGTGAAGTCGGTGTACGAGTTCTTGAGGGAAAGGGGAGGCCTGGCGATTCTTAGCGATCCGAACGTGGAGATTGCGACAAGGGAGGTCTTGGCGAACGGCAGGCCACGACCGCAGATCACCAAGGACATCAGGAGGAAGGTGTGATGTGCAAGATATGTGTCAGTTTGGGGTGTGTGAAGGGCCGCATTTGACGACATGTTGCGTTATGTGTCTTGATTATTGTGAAGATTTTCCAGCCGTGCTTTATGTTGATGCAGAACCACGTTGGCGTGGAAGCTCTTTCTTGTTCATGCTCATCATCATGCCTAAAGTAGACCCCTTCTGGTTTCCCATGGTGTGATGTTTCACGCCTCTCAGGAGGCAGCGGTGGCGCAGATCAAGCGAAAGTATGCCACCCACAACCTTTCACAGGATGACATCCACACCTGCCTCTACAGCATGTGAGTGATGCCTGCTCACGCCCGGCGAAACCAGCCTTGAGAACGTGCAGTGTACCTCTGGATGTGGTGGTCAATTCGGAGGGATGCGGTTTTGTACAAACATCATGTCTTGCTAGGATGGTGGCAGTCTCCAGAGGGCATGGATGTCTCCTCCGGTGACCCCGCTGCCATTAAAACGCTGCCACTGCTTCAACCTTCTCACGCCCGACCCCGCTGTGGTCGAACGCCCTCACACCAGACCGACTCACTTGTATTCTACTATTACAGGTGCGACAATGACTCCTTTCTGAACTCGAACCGCGTGCCCATCGACAAGATGATCGCGTTTTTGGAGCAGTACTTCTCGCCGGACACTCCGGGAGACGACGCTTACTCCCTGGCCATCTCAGCCGGAGAGGGCGGGGCGCGCTTGACGCACTCCCACGCACGACAGTACAACTTTGCGCATCAGGCAAGGCTGGGTGTGCCTCACCAGTCGCGGTGGTTTAGGTGTGGAAGCGTTGAAAGAGCAGCGTGACAGCGCCGTCGTTTAAATCGTCGTTTGAATGGATCTTTTGCGCTGAGTACATGGTGTTGGGGAGTGGGGAGGATGCGGTCTTCACCCCGCCTAACGATGTGTATCGATGTGTGCACAGGTGGGTCGGTGCGATTGTCCGCTTGCATGGTTCACTTAGCGGCACAACGGCCATTTATTTTCTCATGTCAATGCTAAATCGTGCCGCCGCCGTCCTTGTCCGCCCTGCCGCTTGTTTTGAACAGTCGCTAACGTTATGGCGAGATATCATGCACGACATGTTTCGACTGTGGTGCTTAGGGGAGGAAGACTTGCTCTCCGAAAGCTTTGCTTACAAGCTAGTGGACACGGGGCAAGGGAAACAACGGGTGCAGAACAGCCCCCAGACCTTCAAAGCCATGCAGGTACAACGTTGTGTTCGGCTTTCCTGACACGGGTTTAGTGCTGGCTGCACTGGTCTTGTACACGTTTAGTGCTGTTTCCCAAGTCACTCGTTGCTCGGAATATGCGCGCGTTCATTCGTTGGGGCGTCTGCAGGCATAAGCGGCCTTGCTCCGAAGAAGGCAGACGCTCTCTCGTTGCATGTCCATCTAATAGTGTTGCTGATGTTGTCGCATCGCAGGAGATCCTCTTCCACGCCCAGCATGGGGTACAGAGCTGGGTGGGCAGCAGCGTCATCCACCTGGGCGACCACAACGTACCGAACGCCCTGATGTTTATCGACAAGTATACCCAGGTGCGTGTGCCTCTGCGATAAATGTTGTAGTATGCTACCTGAGATCAGAAGCCCGCGTCAGAGGTGGTTTTCAGACCACGACGAATAGTGCTAGCTAATGATATCATGGAACACCGTTGCGACATTGGCACCGCCGTGCCGGGTTGTCTGTCTTTTTTCACCAAGAGTCGCGGAAATCGGTTTCAATAGCAGTGCTAAATTCGGAAGCGTAAACAACAGGGCACGTACCGGAGGGGGTTAGCGAGATGACGTGGAGAAGGGCACATGTGTCTTGTCTGTTGATGCATGAAAGTAACGTTCTGTCGCGAATAAGTCACCGAGGAAGCAAGCGTGACGATCCCCCTTTCCGCCGCCGTCGCAACAAATGGCGTAGGTTTCGCGCATCCTGGGCCCCATCGTGTCGTGCCTGGAGCAGCTTGTCGTGCTGTACGACAAGGATGAACACATCCAAAACCTGATCGACACCGGCTATGGCGGGCTTGAGACGCTGAGGAAGGACATTCTGTTTGACTTTTTTCGATCAGCTTTCGACGGCAGCGGTGCCGACAACTTCTTCGACGCTGGCAGGTACTTCCTCTGTATCATAAGTTAGGGTACCTAAATTTGTACGGGCCCTTAACCGTGTCCGATCTGTTTTTCGATTTTTTTGTTGAAATCTTCGGAGTTTTTTTAGCAAGAAACATTTATTTTATTTTATATGCATGCGCCACCCCGCGTGCATGAGCGCCCGAGAAAAACCAGTCGGCCTGAAAAAGGCCGCATTTTGCATGTATTCTGCCCCCTCCGACCAGGCGGGGGGGGCGGGGCAATGACAAAAACAAGGCAAAAATACCAAGAATTATCCCTGACCCTAAACCTAGCCCCCCCTCTACTCAACGATCCATGACGCGTCCCCCATACTAAAAACAGCATAATAGTGGCCCCCACACTGAAAACAAGACACTTGGGGGGACCACACTAAAACCAAGACACTTACGGGGCAAAGCAAGCAACAGTAGGGCCCTCATCCAACCCCCCCCTCTACTCAACGATCCATGTCGCGCCCCCTATACTAAAATCAGTATAGTAGTGAACCACACTAAAACCAAGACACTTGGGGGTCACACACTAAAACCAAGACACTTGGGGGGTCACACTAAAATCAAGACACTTGCGGGACAAAAAGAAGGGTTGGTTGGTGGCGGGGAAAAAAAAGAAAAAGTCGACTATTCTTCCTCATCATCACTTGGACTCGATGCCGCCGCAATCTTTGAAGGGGTGAGAAGCGACGGCCGCCCACTTTGCTTCGTTTGAAAGGTCCAGCTCCTGGGTGTTGTCGATCTGGGTTTTGACCCGTTTCCACAACTTGGACGGGTACTTCTTTCCAACACCGTAGCGTTCGCAGATCGGGTCAAGCACGCCCTTGGGAATCCTTGACAACCCCGGCTGAATGCCCATCGCAATTTCTACCGCCATGGCATAGCGCCTACCAACCGATAATTCGGTGCCCCTTTTGCGAGGTGGTGTGCTGGGGGGCGATTCCATCGCTAGGGTAGGGTAGTAAAATGGATTTGAGAATTTTGTCGAGAATTCTCAAAAAATATCCCACAATATTTTCTCAAAAATATTCCCAAAACAGGCTAAAATAGGGTACATTTTGACCAATATTAGGTACAGAAATAGATGTTTGTTTTTTTTAATTTTTTTTCCATCGCTCCTTCTTTGTTATATCTTTCTTACAAACCCGACTATGCTACCATCACTAACACGGTTGCACCCTGACAATCTATTGCATTTAGGTACCCTAACTTATGATACAGAGGAAGTATGATGCAAAATCTGAGCATCTGAGCGCGTTCAGTTTTCTTGTCAACTCTCTCCGCTCGCAGCTCAGATATCTGTTTAGTTCAATAGCCATTGTGTGTTGTTTCCCCGTTCTGTCGCGTGAGCATATATGCTCTGTCAGACATGCTCAGTAGCATGTCATCCGTGTGTGCGCGACTTCGCGACTGCTGGTGATAAATTTCAAAGGAAGCCAGCGACGCATCGTGCTACGGTCATTACCTATGTTGACGCAGGTTCTTTGTGTTGTCGTGGAGGCTAATTCATTCGTCGTCTCCCCTCTCCACGACGCGTGGTCAATGGTCTAACCGCTAAGGCATGCAAAACATACCGAGTACCCCTTGCCCCCCCCCGCGCTTTTTTTTTCAGTTGCATTGACGGCCGGCTGACCTCGGCATGGAACTGGTGCTCCCAGCTGAACTCGAAGCCGTTCTTCCCGATGTTCCAGCTCACGGGATTTACCAGTTTCGATGGAGAGTTTCAGCGTTGAAGAGACCGTTAGAAATTCGCCGTTCATTCGAGTTCCACCGAGCAGGAAGCGGCTAAGGGGCGCAAGTATCTCCATATGGATCTGGGCCCGTGTGGTGATGGTGGAGGTGTTCACAAGTGAAGACATGCGGAACACTTTTTTTATGACAGCGGTCGAGCGTGAAATTAGCCGGTGATAGATCAAAGATGCGACGTTTCCGGTTGCCTTTCTCGCAGAAAGAACGATGCACGCAGACCAATGCACCAAACGTCGGTTTCGGTCGACGGCGGGGGATGGGTGTGTTCTGCTGGGATTCCAACAGTCAGACTTTGTTCTGCCCACCCGAAAGTCTAGCGAGAGCTACGATTACCAATCGTTGGGCTGGGAGCTCTGTAACAAGCACGGCAGAACATTCGCTCGATCAATCAGGCCGTCGTCGGAAAGGCACGGGTGTGCTCTCGGTTGATGAAGGTGTGACGGTGTTAGTGAGAAAGGGAGAGATTTCCGACGCAAATACCCCACCGATCAAATAGCCACGGGGGCGGCCGGCCCGCGTGAAAAATGAACAGTAACGAAACAATAACCCTACACACATGTGCAACCCCAAATGACCGGCGGGGCCAAAATATGTGTGTTGTATTGTGTTTTGATCCCATATATTCTGGGGGCCAGTAAAGGCGATGTTGACGCAGAAACAAGAGGGAATCGGCCTTGACAGACTTCGGGGAGAGTGTACCTTTATGAGTAGTCTCCACATTACCCCCCCTTTTTCGAGATTTCCTTGTTTGCCAGGCATGAGAATCTTCTTGGGGGAACCGAAACCCGACCGGCTGGCGGCGGGGCGATTCACATTCATAACAATCCTCGTGCGTGTTTACACGGGTCCACCACGTCCGCCACGTCATCTGAAGTCCCGAGTTCGACGATGTAGCCAGTGCGTCCTTCCTTGACCCACGCACCTTTTTTCTTTTTCCGTTATCCGGAAGAAAAAGTGGTGAGTAGTGGCGTTGAACCCGTGCCTTCATCAGCCAAAAGCAGACACTCCGATATCCCACGTCGACGCCATTGTGGAAAGACGGAATCATTCTCGACAGACGTGTGGGACATCGTGCCTTCATAAAGGTGGTCTCCACACGTCGGTGGTGGTGCACTTTGACATCACCGCTCCCCCGTGGCGCTTGCCTTCACTATTGATTTTTATCGCCAGAATTAGTCTATTCCCTCAGGTTGCGTTTACACGTAATGCGTGGTTCACAAGTCAGACGTCCAACGGTTAGCCTGGTACAGGTCGTCAACTGCCAACTGCGGATCCGCAGGCAATTGGTTTAGAAAGGTTCTCCCCTGAAGAACACATTACCGCTCGGGAAAAACGCGGCGAAATAACCGGACACAAAAATCTTTGGTTGTTCAACATGTCCGCGGAGCGGCCGGCATCTGTTCCGCTGGCAAGACTACCGCCACCGCAGTTGCCCGCAAGAGGAACAGCATCATGGTGGCAGCTCAAGGGCTTATAGCAATGGCCATGTGCGCCGTTTCATCGGCATTCATGCTTGCTCCAGCGCCAATGTCGATTCCGAGTACCGTAAGTCGGAGTGCAAGAGGAACAACAAGAGGTATGTACAACAGCAGTAGGTCTTGAGCGCCTTGACGACTCCACACTCATGCTTCTACTTGTGCAACCGCATATTTTCCCCCTGTTGCTCCACCTGCCATATCATGTTTCTTCCACAAGGGCTACTATTTCGGTTGTGTCTACTGCTGTTAGTCGACCTGATAATTTTAGTACTTGAAAGGCTCCGGCGCACAAATATCCATGATGACATCAACTTGCTGTCCCGCCAAACGTAACTTATCAAGCAACAGGTCCTGAAACTAGATGGAAACTACAAATTACCAGCTGGGAATTAAGTAGATGACCGATTTCTACCATGCAGTCGAAGGCAGTACGACGTCACATCCTCCCGCACTCTTGTTGCTTCTGTTGTTGTAACTTTCGAGACAAACGCCCCATCAGTAGCCTCGTGGGGCCGATAAGCACTCTCCCCGAGGAAAAATATATAAGTACACACAGAAAGACTACCCATTCGAGATATATCCACGGTAGTCCCCTTCATGTAGTTTCTGTGCCAGATGTCTGGGAGTCTAGCAGTCAACGTTTCTAGAGCTAACAAAGGCTCCGGACTTCGGGTGCCATGGGCGAGTAGGCACCCTCGTCCCTCAGGATTAGGTTGAAAAAAATGGCGGTGATGCTGTTGGGGAAATCGGTGGCGGGTGGAGAATGTGCGATGCGCACGTGCATACCGAGGGCACGAAGCCGGAGGATCGATGAAGCAAAATGTGCTGGTTGCAGTCACACACGAAGGGCACGACGACGGCCAAGACTCTGTCCTTCAACATGGAGCAATTATTTGTTAACAGACTGAAAACATTCGCAAAGCAGCAAACTGTGTGTAAACAAACTGCGTGCGAAGTCCCCCCTGTTGTTTTTGAAGTTCCGTTCTGCGTTCCGGTGGTCATTTGAGGGGCAGAACTCGACCCCTTCTGACGCTGGCTCTATGTTCATACTTCAGCCAATATACAAAAGAAAGCAACTTTCCCGCCGTTTCTAACTGCACCTTAGTGCTGTTATCAGTAGAGGAAATCATGCAGAGGCGTCGTGTATGCTGGCACGTTCAGGTTAGATTCTTGGGTAATATCGACGTTCGTAGTAATGGCCGATAATCTCCGCAAATCTCCGCAAGTTTGACCGACACCCGAGTGTCTTGTACAGCGTGTTGTCACCGCCACGGACAGTAAACCCCTGAACGGCGGGTCGTCAGTAGCAGCTAGTGACATCAACGTACCCCGCCGTTCAAGAGATTGGGGACAGTGGCGGCGAGCACAAGCAGTACAAGACGCTCGGGTGTCGGTCTAATTTGCGGAGATCTGCGGAGAGTGTAGGCCATTGGCACGGTCCTCAATATCACCACCAGAGAAGCAAATGTCAGCGCGCCAACACACCCTCCCCTCTGCTGGGTGTCCTCTAGTGATATCACTACGAAAGTGCAGTTAGAATGCTAAACTGACCTTTATGAGCGCCTGCCATTTGGCTCTTGTGACATGCATTTTGACAGGTGTGAATTCTATCTAAATTTTAAAGGGGGCGTGTGAAGGTAGACTCATGATGTGTACTTGCGAGTTTGTTTTGAACAGCCTCTACTGCCGCCCAGTGCGAGAATCAGCAATTTCTGTTTGTTCCCATGCCTTCCGATTGGTCTTGTCTCGTGAATGTGGAAAACGAGCAGCTGTTCTGGGCACCTATTTTGTGTCCTTGTGAACGAACACTCGGTTCTGCTAGATGCGTATGCTGCCAAACGACGTCCTGTTGGCGGAGATCCAAGGAACGAAGTCTTCGGGCGTTGCCCTCTGGGTACAGGGTCTCGGGCCCGATAAATTCACTCGTTTGATGCGGGTGACATCCTCAACCCCAGGAAGGGCATGCTGGCAGGGCCGATCAGGGTGGATGGAATACGTAGATTCCTGTGCCCTGAATATGGCTGAAAACACTGTTCCGGTGCACCGAAACGGTAGACTCTCACAGGTGTCCGTTCGATTACTTTCTTTTTTTCCGATGGTTGGGGTGACTGCGCTACGGACGGAAATCGGGTAGCAGGGTGTCATCCGCTATTCGGGTGCCTTTCACAGTAGACCATGTTCCTTGATTCTACTCCCTTATGTTGCTACGCTAGTCCTTCGCAACACTGACCCCAACTCTTTTCCTCCCACTTCGACGGCCAGCGCCTGCAGCACGTTGTGCGACGGCTTCGGTGAGCATGTCCGTGGCGGAAGAAGGCCACAAGTTCATCATCATCGGCGGGGGTACGGCTGGGTGTGTTTTGGCGAACCGCCTCTCTGCCGACAAGGTGGGTGACTAGTGCGACCTGGTGCAGGGTATCGCGCGTTATCTGCGTTATGTGACGATTGAATCTCCGGGCTTGTCGACATTTCTCATGTTCGTCCTCTAGTATTTGGAGGAGTGTCACTTCATGAAGACGCTGGGCTTTGTGATCGGATGGTATTAGAGCTAGATATGGTTGGATGTATGCGAGCGCCACTGGTCGAAAACATCGTGTTGCTCTCCGTCACTACCGTTTTGACCGGACGCATTGCGTACTCCACTTGTTAGGACAATTCAGTGCTGGTGCTGGAGGCCGGCTCGGGAAAATTCAATGACAGGAATATCAGGATGCCCATCGCAATCCTAAGGTGCGCCCTCTCTGTATACTTTTCTTCCTTCTATTGGACGGTTTCTAGTGGTTCCGTGCTTCCAGGTTGTGAGTAGGTCCCCGGCTATTACCTGTCAACCCCTCTTTTTTATGCGCCCGTCTGTGATTCGGTTCACAAACCACCATTTTTTGCACCAGAGTTGCAAGCGCTCGTCCGCTCCGATCAGCAGTAACCAATGGTGCCGTCAGTGTGTGGTTGACAAAGCGAAAGTTGTGGGAGGAAAAGGTCTGTTTCACGACAACCGCGCGTTTGTCTGCCACTGCTGTGTAGGCTCGTCACTGTTCGACATTCTTGTATTTGGCCTCTGCCAAATTTTGTTCAGCGACGAGAAGGTTCTGTTTCCACAGTGAGAAACGCTTGTTTGTGTGCCACATGGTCTGTAGTGCAAGCAGAAGCAAATGTTTCCATTTTGAGCCCCACAACGACTCACACGCGTCTTGAGACTTGTCTACCACACACAGCTGCATACAGCATCGACACCGAAGCGAACGTTCAAGCTGGAATCCGCGTCCGCTTGGTTTCATGCAGGTTGTTCAAGTCTGTCTTCGACTGGGGCTTCCAGTCGGAAAACGAGAAGTTCGCCACCGGCGACGGCATCTACCTCTGCCGTGGCAAGGTGATGTGCTATATCTACTATGTACAGTAGAGGTCCCTGTTTAGTGCCGGTTGAATGGTGCCGGTTGCCGGTATAGTGCCGGTCAAATCTCGGCGCACAGAACCCGCCCTGAATAGTGCCGGTCTGGCACTATTCAGGGCTGCCCACTATGGTGCCGGTTCGAGCCCCACTGAACCCCACAATAGTGCCGGTTCAAGCACGCACGCACACACAACACACAAGAGACACACACAACACAGAAGACAGACACAGAGGAGAGGGTACACGTGCTGCTGCAGACCCGAACAGCTCTACGCAGAAGTGCACCATGCCATGTGCGGAAGGTGACCTGTGCCGCATACCGGACAGAACGCCACAAGTCCCTAATGGCCACGTCTGCCGGGGACGATGCGGCGGGCGGCTCCATGGCGAATGTGGAAGCATGTTTGACGACAGCGAGCTGAACCGCATCTGCAGTACGTGCGTAGCCAACACTGGCAAGCGCAAAGCGAGAGCAGCAGAGGGTGCTGGGAAGGGGCAATCTAAACGCCCGAAAGCACAAGAGGGGAGTAAGAACGAAGCTCGTAAGCGACTGGACGTACACCAGAAGGTAGAAATCCTCAAGCTGGTGGATGCGAAGCTCTCTCAAGGAGAGATAGCAGACCGCTTCGGGTGCTCGGAACGGTTGATCCGCAAAGTGAAGGCCGAGCGGGAGAGGGTGGAGAACGAGGCTGCTGAAGAGGAGGGGGGTAGCGACGATGAAAACGCGGGCCGCGGGCGGCGTGCCCCACCGGGTTACGCTGATCTGTCGTATCACTTCGGGTACCTAGAGACGGCAGCGGAGGAGAGTGGCAACGGAGACGCCGTGCACCACCTGTCGAAAGCGAGGACGGCGATGATCGCAGCGCATACCGCAAAGCGGGCTCGCCAGGCAGACATGCGGGAATTCATCGCGACGTAGTGAGGGCGGGGGTTACAGCTACAGCGGCTGTTTGATTTCTTGCATGTCCCGTTCTTGCGGTCGTGTTTTGGAGGGTGAGGAGGAGACAGATTTAGCTTCCTCCTTCACCAATAGGTTGTGCCAGCAGGAGCTTCGCAAAAGCAGTGTTACCGCCAAAAATCCATGGGCTTCATGATCAGTGGTTTGCTTTCGCTGTCGAGGAGTGATGTTGAGGTTGCGCGAAATGATTTGATCCGTTTGAGGCCAGTGCCACGGCATTCTTGCCAATAAAATGTTGGACATCTATGAGGTGCATCCTTTGCGATGTTCATGTGAAGGGTTTAAGTCAGGTTGTGCAAGTGTGCAGTACGTGCGCTGAGGTGGGTACAGCTACAAGGTGCAGCATGTGTGTTCGACAGGGCAGGAACCACCCCTATCGTGGCACAGCAGTCTGCCCGCGACGCCCATGCCATGATCTCACCATGTACGTTTCATGTGGTACTCTGTTGGCCCCGCAAAGCAAAGCGCTGCACTCTGAATCTGAAATCACACAGTTCGTCAATAGTGCCGGTCTGGCACTATTGAGGGATTTCCAGACCCTGAGTAGTGCCCCTTTGGCACTATTCAGGCACTCTGAAGAATGGTGCCGGTGCCCGGTATAGTGCCGGTGAAATTTTTGCGCACACTCCGGTACTAAACAGGGACCTCTACTGTATATATATCCTGCCAAAACCAGGAAATAAATAAAAACAAAAAACAAAAACAAAACCCACACTTACAACACTGCCATCTGGACCTACAATAGAAGTGCGAAGGACCCTTACTAGTAGAAAGGTCTCTTTCTTGCCGGTACTGCAACGCTCCACGAGTACTACGCGTACAACCTTCTTTTGGTCTAGTTCTTGGGTCGTACCCGGTACTATTAGTTCTTGAATGCTGTTTCTCATTGTCCTGGTACAAACTGAACGGTTTCAGGTCCTCGGCGGGTCTAGCTGCACCAACGTCATGCTTTACCATCGCGGAGAGGAGGCTGACTATGACGCGTGGGGGGTGGATGGATGGAAAGGCAAGGACGTGCTCCCCTACTTTAAGAAGGCGGAGGTGAACGATGGATGTCTAACTAAAGAACGATCAATGTTTGCGGTAGTCTGCCTGTGCTCGATACGTGTTGACCTTGCAAATCACGTTACGTACATACAGATATTTAGCACGACAGCGTTCGTACACCTCATCTGACTTTAGACCCATGGCAGCGTCTGAGAGGGGGCGTCGCGACGGTCTTTTTTTGAGCGAGGCCAATTTTTCGCCGACAATTGCTGCATATCGCCACGCTCATGGTGAAACGAGGTTGCGTGCCGGCCTAAACCGTTGTTTCCGGTTCCCCGCGTTAAGTTCGGGGTTGTAATCTAGCTAGCTCGATGCTCCGCACGCCGATAGCACCGAGCCGCAGTGAGAACCACACGTGATTTGTGCGAGCTAGGTTCGGTATACGTTTGATTAATCATGCTATTATATTGTCGACGATACTCCCCCGACTTTCTGACGGCGAATTTCTGCCTAATCCGTCTATTTCGTAACCTCTACCCCTGCATGTACGTCTCGCCCACGATCCGTCAACGACCCGCCTTGTCATGTCGCGACCAGAACAACCGATCCAAGAAAAAGGGGGAGTTTCACGGCAAGGGAGGCCCGATGCAGGTGGAGAACGCGCGTTACATGAACCCTTTGACGAAGTTATTCTTCAAAGCGTGCGAGCAGGCAGGCCTGTCGGAGAACGAGGACTTCAACGATTGGTCCCACTCGCAGGAGGGCTTCGGTCGCTTCCAGGTGCGCGGCAGGCGCACTCTCGGCGCTGCTCTGACTTTCTCTCTTCTGTGGGATGTGGGGGGCCAGCGTGTTGCTTATCGTTCCCTAATGCAGCTATTTAGCTGCGCACAAAGGTTGCGCCGGCTTTTCACGCTCTACTAACCGTCTGCGTTGCGACTTGTCCAGTGCGTGCTTGCGGACCACCTGCAACCTTGTCTTGTATGTCTTCCCTTGGTCCGTGTGCTGTTGATGGACGCCTTCCTTGGGGCTATGTCCTTGCACCAGGTTGCACAGAAGAGAGGCAAGCGCTGTTCGGCAGCCTCCTCCTACCTCAAGGAAGCCATGGGGCGCAAAAACCTGGACGTGAAGACCAGCGCCCAGATCACCAAGGTGTGCTGCGTGTAGCACCTGTTGCCGTTTGCTGGTGTGCTGCTTGTGCGGGAGTTTCACCGCGGCAAGGCAATAAGGGTGTGCGCGTATTCATGTTTTTTCCGTGGTGGTCGTCAATGGGAAACAAGCGTGTTGACACAAGCGAGCGAGCTCGGTGCTGCGTTCGCAGGTAGGCTAAGTTTACCCCTGCGCGTGCAGCCTCTCCGTTTTACCGCACCACCTTTTAACACTACACTATGCATGTAAATGAGCAGACTGAGCACGGCACGACCGGCGTTTGTTTCTTCTGGCAGGTCTTGATCGAGAACGGCGGTGCCATAGGCGTTGAGTACGTGCGGGACGGCGAAAAGAAGATCGCCAAGCTTGCCGTGGGCGGAGAGGTGGGCTGCAAGCGAGGGAGGGACTAATGAAAATGCACACCGTTCGATAGCGTTTTCAGCGTGTGCCGCTCCCTCGTCCACTGGTGTTCCATCAGCAAACTAAAGGTGTTTGTTTTTTTCCCATCCTGTCGACAGGATAACATTCCCTGTTGTACTACTCGCTCGATTGTGCTGCTGCTCCATGTGTAAACCTGCTTGATCCGGCTGCATGCAAACGCTCGGTTCTTCACCTTGTCTGGTCTGGTCTGGTCTGGGCTCGTCAACCCACAGATCCTGCTAGCAGGAGGCGCCATCAGCTCCCCGCAGGTGTTGATGCTCAGTGGGGTGGGTCCGGCCGAGCACTTGGAGTCCAAGGTATGGTACAGCCTCTCCCCTTTCTACTAGATACAATTCCATTGTAGTCTCTGTCTACGCATAGCACCTCCTCTCCCGTACGAAACCAAGTATGTACAGTACAGAGACGAAATCCGGTCGTCAGAGGGTGACTGACCCCAGCAGGGTACAGTACAAATGAACACGAAAAAGACAAGAGAAAACCTCCGGGCACACGGCCACAGTAGCAACGACTTAATTTTCTTCCTGGAAGTCATACAGCACGGTATGGCAAACAGCAGAAGGAAGTAAGTACAAGAGCCGTATTGCCAGTTTGAAGACTCGGTTCGTGGAATGCAAAGTGCAACTGCTGGTTGGCTGTGCCTAAGCATGTCTCGGTACAGGACAATCGCGGCCGCCACCATCAAAAGGAGGAGACGTAATGCAGTGTGGGCTTGGTGCAACGTCAGGCATCAGTACCCGTCACTAAATGGTCGCCCAGGCGGCCACGCTGTGAGAAGCTTGTTGCGCACTTTCCGGGTACGTTTTTATGTGACGGTGCGCTCGGTATGCAAACGCACGTACGCGTGGCCCAGACCGCCTGCTGTTGACGTGCATGTTTACATGTGTGTTGTGTTGTCAGGGCATCGAGGTGAAGAGCAATGTGCCTGGGGTCGGAAAGAACCTCCGCGATCATCCCGCTGTCAGTGAGTGTACACCCTCGTGCGGTGTGGGTTGTGACAAATCGTATTCCTGTTATAAATTGCTCCTCTCCCCTGCTCTTGTGGTAAACACCTCACAGGCCGGGCGTGCTTTACTTTGGGACTGTTTGGCCTGTTGTACGTATGGGTTGTGAGCGTGTAAATGTACCTTGGAGAGCCACAGTGCGTCTAGAGGCGTTGAACAAATGAGTTCCAGGCACAACAACTAGCTCGAGTCAATCGGAAGGGGATTGGTTGGGCGGGCTTATCGAAAAGCTAACAGCCTCGTGCGTGATTGTCTCTTCGCTCTTGCCAACGTCTTGCGGTTGCCTTCGGTTCTCAGCCGTGATGGCTGACATCAACAAGCCCATCTCCATCACCGACAAGGTTCTCAAGGAGGGCTCTGGGGACGTGAACAAAGGGGTAAGGTTGGAGCAGGCTAGACGCCACACCAAGTGACATGCCGGGAGGTCTCCTGCTCTTTTCGTTGGTGTTAGCCTTCGTATCTTCCGTTTGTCGTCTGGAAATTCACCATTGCCTGTATCCCCGATAATTCATAGTTGGCCTCCCCTTTGAAAAAACAATTTGAAAGCACAAGCAGACCCCGTGCTCACGGCGAGTTATTCCCACGAACTGTCTTAAAAGGCTTGCACCTTTTTTTTTTTTCGCTTGTCTTCAGACGGCCCTTCAGTGGCTGTTGACGGGAACTGGGCCGCTGACCTCGCCAGGGTGCGAGAACGGCGCGTTCTTCAAGACCACGCCTGACAAAGCGGCGGCAGATCTGCAGGTGATCGGCGTGACTGGCCTGTATACACACCCTTGGATCCGTTTGGACTTTCTTGCGGTACGATACGAGGCGTGACCGAATGACCCAAAAGGACACTTGTCTGCATGGTTACCGTGTGATGGTTGCTCTGGAGCGCATGCACGCTGACCTTTCAGCCTCTCGGCTCCCTCCCATCCGCCTGTCCCCCGACAGTTGCGGTTTGTCCCTGGAAGATCCACTACCCCAGACGGAGTGAAGGCGTACAACACTATTGGCACCAAGGGGAGGCCGCCTTCGGGTGTCACCATGCAGGTGATTGGCACGACGACCAACTCAGAAGGAATTTTCGTCCATTTGAGCGCTGTTCGACGCCAAGCCTGACGTGGGATTGTTGTTGCGGTTCCCGACACATCCACTGCTACTGATGTTGCTGTTGCTGCTTGTGCTGTTTTTCGTCTCCTTTCAGGTGGTGGGGATCCGGCCGCAGAGTGAAGGCCATGTACAGTTGCGTTCTTCGGACCCGTTTGACAAGCCACACATCGTCACTAACTACCTTGAGAGTGGGTGAGTCCTATCCTTCCGCCAGTCATATTCACGTTCTGTGCGGTGGATCGCAAGGGCGTTGGAGGCGATGCATGTACAGCGACTAACTGCGCCATGTTGGCGGAAGAAGGGCATGGTGGAGTGATGCCTTACATGGATATTTTGTTGCGCTTTGAAGGGCGCGCGCGATGAGCGCACAGGGTTGCAAGGATCCGGATGACCGGTGCTGACACTTGCCCTCAATGGGGTGCATCTTTTCCACTGCGATCTTGTCAGGGAGGACATGGCGTCTTTGACGAAGGGGATCGAAATGGCACGAAAGCTGTTCGACCAGGAGGCCTTCGGAGAAATGGTGGACAAAGAAGTCTTCCCCGGCAGAGACAACAAGGAGGTACATACGAGTTGACCATCTGCACGCCCTTGACGTGAAGAAAATGCGCCTTTCCGGTGGAAGTTTTCGACATGGGAAGGGATTGGTCTGCTGAGCGCTCCTGTGGATGCCCTGTTCCTTCCCTGACGCTCTGAGAGTTCGTGCGATCCGTTGCACCCTTTTTTCTTGCAGAGCATGCTTTCGTCGTCTCGTATGGTTGCTTCCTGATGAGCCAGTGGTGGCGATGTCACTGAAATTCGAAAATGCCGGTATATATGCGTATGGTTTGATGTACAAGTCTACGGTGTCAGGACCGGTTTGTCCGTTCGTCGCTGTTGTGTCCACCACTGTCGCGAAGTCCTCCTGACCGATATGTTCTCCTCATCCTCGCCCAGATCTCGGAGTACATCAAGTCTACCGTGCACTCCGCCAACGCCTTGGTTGGCACTTGCAAGATGGGCGGAGAATCAGACAACATGTCTGTTGTGAACTCGGCACTCCAGGTGAATGTTGCAAAGGAACGGACGTAGATTGCTCTCGCTTGGCGGTCGGTCACCTGTTGTGCTTGCTCTGTGCCACGAAAACTGCAAACAAACGCTAGGGATTCGAAATGCGCTAACGTAGTAAACCAACCTTGTTCGATTTTTGTGGCATGATGGACCCTTCCTTATGGACAGGACTAGATTTTTTGTTTTGTTGTGATGTGCGTTGGTTAAGAGCTAGCTTGGGTTATGGCATGTGCTGTGTTGACGCGGCGCGATGGAATTCACGGCCCGTTCCTTAAACAATTATTCGAGCAAGCCCGTGCGCAAAAATCACGTGCATGTGTATTTTTCCCTGTCTACACGAAACTGTACGAACAGGTGAAGGGAGTCGCTGGGCTGAGGGTGATCGATTCTTCGGTGATGCCTTCAATCCCCGGCGGTCAAACAGCGGCGCCGACGATCATGATCGCAGAGAAAGCGGCGGACATGCTCATGGCTTAAGCGAAAGGCGCGGCTATCTTAGGCGTAAGAGTCAGGCCATTTCGTGTACATTTCGGGTTTGACCCAAACTGTCTGGGGTTTCGCAACTTTGCAATTGACGGGTTTCGCGCGAAGCTCGGGCACCCGCTTCTTTTCGAATGATATGGAGCAAGGTTTAGGCTTTTGACGTTTCCTCGAGCCTTTCTTGTGTGAAAGAACTTCGTTCGGCAGTCACCGTATCGTGCGTCCGTCGGGGAAAGGGAAGGAGGCGAATAATAAGCAGTGGTCAACCCACGGGTGCGCCCGTAAAATTAAATCTGCGTTTTATTAAGTACTCTGTGCAACAGGCCAACACGCGCGGCGTCTGGCTCCGACTGACTGCACGTCTCGTTGTTGTGGGGTATGCATAGAATAGAAAGAAACGTGACCGTTTAGACAAAAAGTCACACCAGGGCCTGGAAACGGTGCCGCGTCAAGACAAGACGTACGTACGTGCTTTACCAAACAAGAGTGGTTTTTTCTGGATGCAGCGTAGTCATCATGCAAATCGAAACGATGTGAACCAAAACTGCCGTCGGAGGTCTTTGGGTAAACTGGTGGTTGGGGCTTGGGGAAGGGGGGCCGAAAGCACGCGAATGCCGTCCTGGTTCACACAGGATGAATTGGCAATTGGCTTGCATGCAGTTGACACTTCAAGTTAGAAAGCCGTAAACTTGAATTTGTCGTCCTAACACCCAATAGCAGGTGCTAGCTCTGCATATATTTTGCCGCATACCGCGACAACAGGGCAGATGACAACTGGCTAACGACCCCAATCGATTAGTATTTTTCCGTGTATCGGCAAGGGAATGATATTTCCGGCCAGCTGCGAAGGGTGGATAAAAGACAAGGAGGTGTACACAAGACGTGGCATAAAAACCAGCGAGCAGCATGATAATTAATTTGTGACGAGCTCGGCGGGAGAACCGATGAGGACATGGCGGACTGTGATTTTCCCAGGAACTTTGGCACGCTTGCCGTGAGAGTGAAAACGCTGGCCATATATATACCATATAGGGTAAATAGTGAGTGGAGCTCTTCGGTCTGCTTTGCCGTAGCTGCGGGCGTTAGGGGGGGTCGTTTGAATCACGGTTGTAAACAGTTTATTCACGGAGCCACCGTGTGCCGCGAAGGAAACTTTTCATCTGGCCTGGCCACCCTCTATTAACACGGAAAATTCCCCAAAACGACTGTGTAACCCTTAGAGGGCACACAATCCTCGGATTCTCGATTCTTAAGATCGGCGCGAGGTACATTCCCTGGTCCGTCGGGGGTTCGTGATTTCTGCCATCACCCTCAATCACCCTCAAGATGGCATTGTCTTCGAGTGGCAAGTGACCATCCTTGGTTTCACGTCAACTATGACCTAGCAGCGCACAAGATGGTTGGTACGTCTGCGGGTGACGAGTGACCAGACCGGAGCACACTTAATGCATCTATCCATCAACTAGCAGCACACAAAACCCCTCTGATGGGTGTAGGTGCCAACTGCCTGCTTCGTGAGGCAGGCGTGACGAAGCAAGACCGACCCGTGTCACGCCCATGGAGCACAAAAGGAAGGAAGGGACGACGATAAACAATGATCCCCAAAGCCGAGGGGAACTAACACCTTGACGATAGTCCAAACCGACACAAGCGATCGCGCAAACCACGACTTGTTCCGTACAGAGCGCACCATGTCGGCAGTACAGAACAAAGAGATCTCTTGGAACAGAAGCACAGAGCGGCAAAAGCAAACATACTTCATTCACAGCGTAGCGCGCTGACACAGCAGTAGCATGTACCGTAGTGCATAATGCACCACCACCAGCAACACATGGTTCAACGAAACGCAAAACACCGAACGACAAACCACATCCACCCACCCACCGACGAATACGCACCGGATGAAAAAGAAAAAGAGAAAGAGAAAGAGAAATAGATTCCGACGACACAAGACCACGCACTCCACAACCATCACTCAGCTTCATTCGCTAAAGTGTACTCTGGCGCAAACCGATTGCTTGGACATGAAAATACAGAATACCGTTAAAGGAGGGTATTGTTGTACTGAACACACGCAGAGAATAGACCAGCAGTGCAGGGGGAGGAGGCTGACGACGAGGCGTGCACGGGGCACAAAAAATAAATAAAAACCTGTACTGAATACGATACGCCTTATGCACTTCGACTTTTTCATGCACGTTGACGGCGAGGGGGAGCCAGCCGCTTCACCCCATCCTTGACTGTATCTTGTGGTGCAAGTTGCATAACTCATCCACGTAAGACGTCCCGTGCTTTGTCTTGTCCTCTACCATCAGACTAACGAAGCGGGCCTATCATGGGAGCGATAGGGGGGCGGTCCAGAGGTTCAGAAGAGGGAGTTCAAAAAATGCGAAACAGGAACAAAGGGGACAAAAGAGCAGCGTCTAATGGTAAGCAAAAGGAGTGCATGCACGCTGAGGGTTCCGTGCGAGGAGCATAGACCGCTGCCTAGGGCGCAGCACCGATGAGCATGAGACAATGCATCGCCAGTGACAGGGAAGACTTGCTTCTCTGTCCACAGATTACTACATTGTTTTGGTCGGACAAGGCCGTTTTCCCGACGCCTTACAGAGTGTGTGTACGCCATGTTGCACCAGGGACATGTCAGATACAACCTGCCGCGGATTCGCGAAGTCAGACCCGTCGGAGAACAAAAAGTTCCTGCCGTGACTTCCCCCTCCCCTGTCCCCGCACAGCAGAGGGAATTGTCACAACGGCTTTTCACAAACACATACGGCGGAGCAACCTTCCTCGTTCCTCCCGACCCCCGTTGCTTTTTCTTCACAAGTGTCTTTCCTGTGCTCTCTCCCTCATGCAATACGCCCCTCACCTCCTCCGGAACTCCCGAATTGGCCGCCACCACCACTAGCGGCTTGTGGGCGGCGCTCCCTCTACGCAGATGCTCTATGACGTTGCGCACCCGTCTGGCCTGCTCGTAGCCATCTTCTTGGCGAAGTTGTAGGACGCTCGTACTAGCCCCTTCATTGCCGTAGCCTGGTGGGCTAGGCCCTGTTCGTTCGTGTGTGGGGGTAGTAGGCAGCAGGCATCATAGATCATTGATCGTAAACGAGGTGTTGATTATTGCTTCCATCAGGCGGGTGGGGTCGGAAACATGCACGCACGAAAAACGAGGTGTGCTATCGAAGCGCCCATGCGTTGCTATGGCGGCGGGGTGCGTTGAACAGGACTAAGAGCGAAGGACAGATGGAGTGACGGCCGCTGTGCACTCACCCCCAAGGGCACCCTACTCCACGGAACCAAAAAATAAAGCCCGTGCAGATGCACACAACCATAGGCGGAGCCCCAACATTGACATCTGTGCCAGGCAGGGCGGGAAGGAGGAAAGAGGAGCTCACGTTTGACAGGCATCGCTCTACATATCGGAGGCCACACAGAGAGGCCTGTCCCCTTACAGCACGGGAATGTAAGTGTTGAATGGCACAACAATGCAGTAAAAATACACAAACAAGGCGGGTCCAAGCCCCGCGTTGCTCGTCCAGCCCGTGTCCTTCGTTCGTGTCACGGTGGAGGGGAAGGAGTGACGGATAAACACGAAACGGCCTTGCTCTTCCACTGCCGCCGAAAAACTTCATGGCGTGCCTGCCTACCGCCGTCTACTACTTCAATATAAAATTACAGCGTGTTTCCTGGCCGCGGGACTGAAAGGCCAACTGACTGAATGACTGAATGACTTGACTCACCGGGCACCGCGTCCACCCCGAACAGCTCGGACATCACCTCCCGGCTGACCGAGCGACCCACGTAGAGCAACAGCTCCTCCCCGTTGTCCAGCAAAAACACCCCAGAGCTGCTCAGCTTCTCCGAGGTCGGGGGCAACGCGACCGGCACGTCAACCCCTGACCGGGGGCTCCCCCAGATCCCCTCCACACCCCTAACCCCCTCTAACCCTACCCCCGTCCCGACTGCTCCGGGCTGCGAGGCCGCTGCCGGTGGCGGGGGTATAGGGGGTGGTGCGTCCCCTATGTCCGGCGGCAAGTCGTGAACGGAGTAGAGGGAGGGGTAGAGGACCTTCACCATGCCCTCCACCGACAGGCTGTGATTGGCAAGCAGCCGCGCCGCGCGCTCGTCTGCGCGAACGTCCGGGGCGCCGCCCTGCAGCAAGGTGTGCATCGGATTGTGCGCGCGTGTTGAACAGTACGCACGGAAGGGGGGCAAGGGTGAGAGATGGCGACAACTATGAGTGATGCAGCACGGAACCACTCTTTTTCAACATCTTCATACTGGCACATCAACGTGGAAGCGTTGTTCTTTGCACGTCCAAACACAACGCACCTTCGAGTTGGGTCTAAGTGCGAGCATCTTGTGCGTGCACAGCGTGAAGAGTGGCAGGACTCTCAGCGCCTCCGGGAGGATGAGCTGCCCGGCTGGGGAGTCAGAGGCGCACTTCTTGCGGTAGGCGAAGAGCATGGCTAGCATCGACTCCTCCACCTGCGAAGGCCCGCAGCGAGGACAGCAAACGTTTCCGATTAGGGTGGTCATGGCTCTGTGGACACAACATAGGTCACACCAGAACACCCCCCGGATCGACTTGCGCAGCTCGCTTACTTCACGACCGAGAGGATGTATGAGTCAAACGATGCGTTTTCGGGAAGCTCTCGACGAGGCGGTTCCGACGCCTCCCGCCATTTTCGGCACCGTCACCCTCTGTGCTGTGGAGTAGCCGAGCTTTAAAAATCAGTTCAGGGTGTGTCATCTGATGTCATGTCACCTACACGGAACACAGTCGGAGTGGCTCCAACGCCGCGTCGACTAACATAAAAGATCACAACACTTAAGGTTTCCGTGACGACAAGGAAAAAAAGCTTCTTCCCATGTTCCATCGATCGGAACATAATGATGGCTCGCGGAAACGGCGTGCCGAGAATCGACGCAGAGTTCAGCAGCAGCACACAACCGATAGCCAACTCCAGAACCCAAGCATCGCCGGATACTCAAGCGCAAGTCATTGTTTCAACACGGACTAAAAAAAGCACGAACAGTCGCACGCGTGCATTAGAGAACAACCAACATGCGTGCGTTCTTATCTACACACGGCGTCCATCTATCCTGATCGCTCTCGCTCTTCACCAGCGAACGTGCAGCAGGTTAGGTTTGTTACCGAGCAGTCGACACTTTCGGTCCTCGTCCCGCGAGAGCCGACGGCTGCCCACCTGTTTAAGGATCGCCTCCACCGCCATCTTGTTGCCGAGCGCCCGCGACACCGCTTGCCTCGCCATGACGGCGGACACCGTCTCAACGTCTGTTGACATGTGGGAGAACACAGTTAAGGGCGAGTCAACTCCAGGGCCATGGGAGAACGAAACGGCCTCGAAAGACCGTATTTGCATCAGCATCAAATTGACAACTTTTCCAGGAGTTGGCAAGCAGCCGCCGTGGATTGCGTTCTGCTCTGGTGGTGAAGCGAATGTGCCTGCCCCTTTGGCAGTATCAATTGAGTCGCTCCACTAAGGGTGGCTGTGTCACAACGCCGCCGAATACTTGCACTCTGAAACATTTTGCAACACAAGTATCGGCATAGACAACTTTGAGTACCCACCACGCCCGAGAGGGCTCCTTCAAAAGCACCTAGGAGACACCTTTCGCCCTTGCACCACTATCACAACCCGCCACCCCGTTCTTAGTCTGGTTCTTGCCCAGACGCTCCCTCCCAAAACAAACAAAACGTTACGTATGCAAAACCACCACACGCGCTCACCGGTGGACCGGAATATGTTAGGCAGGAGACCCGTCACCGGCAGCCCCAAGGTGTGACATCGCACTCGTCGCTGCCCACTCGTGGACGTGTAAAGCAACGCCGACTGCCACACCATCATGTCGTATGACATCATGGAATCCCGTACCATACCAAGAGGCAGAACGGGGTGGCGAAAAAGAGAGGCACACGAGGATGGGCAGACTTGAGGGTGAAAAAATCATGGCCGGGCTAGGGCGGTGCCACAGTAGGGACTGACTTCAAAATAAAAAAACATGAGTCGAGAACAAGAACTTAACTGCTATGCAGCATCATCACCAAAGCTGTCCATAATCTACGCCTGCAGCTTCGACCCCTCCTCCCCGACGTGCCAATATGCCAGTTTGACATGCCCGAGCGGGAATGCGACCAGAAACTGGCGGACGTACGAAACAGCTGAGCTTGACGCCGGTCCTACTGCCGTGGCCAGCCTTCAAGCTATTGTTACCTGTATGTACACCATTTCCCCCTCCTCGAGCTTCCGGCCGTCGTGTTCTAGACGGCACACGATCGTGTGATGCGGAGTGATGTTCGCCACCTCCAGCTCCCCCGGCATGTTCTCTACGCCGGGCCCCAAGCGCTGGGTGCACGAAAACCCCGTGGTACACCGTACCTGATAGAGGGGAAAACAAAAACAAATGCTCCAGTAAACAAAACACAAGCACGCCAAAGTAATACTATCTCAAAGACTGTTAGCGCTGTGCAGCTATGGCATATGGTAGAAACAGCTAGCTGCGAATGGGATCTTACAAAACAACCCCGCCATTTATTTCTGAAGAGACGAGAGCAAGAGAGCGAGGGTTTCGAACACGCCTCGATAGGGTACACGTAAACAGGGTCAAAGGTTCGGGGTGGGTGTGGAAGGCGACCCAAGATACACGTTACAGACCCGGGTGATGAAAAAGCGGGGGAAAGAGCAACAACGAGACTTACTTTTCGCCACACCCTCTTCCGGGTTGGCAGCATGTGTCTCCCCGACAGAAAACGTGCGTGTGATCTCCTTTGCTGTCGCACTACCATCGTCTAGGGGGATGGGCGTCAAAAGCCTCGATGGAGCCCCCGTCAAGAATCACACAAAAAAAAAAAAGATAGAAGAAGGAGCCAAGAAGAGCCCCACCCGCCCACCGACCTTGAGGATAGCTTCGCTGGCGCTGTGGGCGTGATCGCGCAGAGCCCCCGTCAACTGCTCCCTAAGGTGCGACTCCGTGTCGCGGCCGCCCGGCTCCCCTCCCCGCAGGCACGTGACTCGCCCGCCTGTTAATCTAGATACCATCCCGATGGTCCCCGCGTCGTAGAACTCTCGGACCCTTCCGTTGCACCACAGCATCAGATCCACGCACACCTGTTTCCGCCCCCCCCCCCCCCCCCCCCCCCCCCCC